CGTGAATTTCGGATTTAAAAAGATCGCGAAATAAAAGTGACGCGGAAAATAAGTGTCGCGAACATAGCATGACGCGAAAATTAAGTGACTCACATTATGTTACTGTTGCGCTTTTGTTAATTTTGAATTTATAGTACCTTCGTTAAAGTCGGTTTATTTAATTCAAGGACATGTTAAAGTAACATTGCCAAGGAAATAAATTCTGTGTTACTCAAAAACGCGCAGTGAAAGTGATTGAAAATACAAAATTTTCGCAAAATCGCGGAATTTAAGTGTCGCGAAATAAGCCCACCTCAAAATTGCGAAATAAACGTGTTACGAAAATTTCATGTAATAAGGTAATTACATTAACAGTTTGTAAGCTGTTGAATTGAGCACGCAAGATCAAGATTTCGAAGATTCGACAACACAGTATCACAAACTGTGTAACGAATTGGACGCGACAATCTGCAAAAGTGATCTTCATTTCAATTTTTGTATCTTTAATTTAGCTTTATGTGTATCTCTATTCATTTGAATCTCAATAAATTGAAGAGAGTACTTTATTCTGGGATTCTAACGATCACTTGTAGCGAAAGTGAGTACAGACAATCCATAGCCTCTGATTAGAAAAGAACCCCATACAACTAAGCATTTTATGATTTAGACTTGCTACACTCAAATTTGTGCGGTGCAAAAAACCGCTAAGCTTAAAGGTTTTCATTAAGAGGTATCACCTAAGCTCAAGAGTTTCTTCAAAAGGAGCATTAATGGCACGCTAAATAGAATAAGGAATGAAGCAAATTGACTGACAAATAAATACATTTGCAAGGCCAAACTGTATATTTTCTGTACGAAAAAAAAATTGACTGGACTTTTAAAACAGTTCAGCTTTGTAACCACATAACTATCAAGCAACGAAAATAAGTCAGTACAGATCATTTCTTACCATTTTTCTCTTCGTCATCTTTTTGTCCCGGATCGTTCAAGTCACCCTCTTTAATAAGGTCGCCACTAGTCTTTTTGTTGTCTTTAAATCCATTTTCAATTGAAGGACTTTCAACACCCTTGTGTATCCCTCTGAAATACAATATTTTAATATGCTATGTAAAATTCTGTACGAGATTGTTCTGTCTTTTATCAGTCAGGCAGAGCTGAAGCTTATTTTTTTTATTCAACGAAACAGCAACATTTGTTTGAACCAGCTATTTTTCTGTTTGACAAATAGTATTTTTTCAATTTCGAGTATATGTCAGAAAACTAACAACGATAAAGAATTATCATTGTTGTAATTAAGAAATTGAAAGAGTGAAATTGCAAATGTCAATGCATTTAGGTTTTTCGACGCTAAATTCACTTAATAGGGGCTAGGAGGCTACTCACGTTGACCATTCATGAGTAAAAAATATCTCAAAGACAACGTCGGCAGGCTATGTGCACGGACGAAAATAATAGCAAATCATTTCATTTATAATGTAGCCTTACCTCCTGGTTTCGTTAAAGGAAAACTCCAAAGCGGTATCAACATCACCACAAGACAGAGAAGAAGCAAAGCGTTTGCCTGCATTTTTTGAGCTTGGCAATCTTTGTATAATTCTTAAAATGCTGGACTAGGATTATGAAGTTTTGAATCTTTACCTGGCAATTTATATGGTTTTCTGGGGTAGGCGTCAATAATTACAGAGACACAGTAGTTAAAGATATTTGCGACTGTTTGTTGTGAGTGCCCGGGCGAATCTTATCTTTAAGTGTTCCGTTTTAAAATCAGACGAGAAGTTGCTATATCATCAAAGGAAATCACTAGTGCATTATAATTTTAGAAACATGCATGGCCACCGTTAGCTGAATACTTCATATCGTCATGCTGTGGGCTAAAATCTTGGACGTGATATTCGATGTTCTTTGTGAGTTGTCAAACTTCTGCCAACTGATGTGTTTTCCTTTTCATACGGTTACTAATGTAGATCAACAGTCGCTTGCTGTTTCCCAAAGCGTACCATGTACTAAAAAACACCGTAGTTGAGAATTGCATAAATACTGTTGGTCTGATTGAGCAGTGACTAAAGAGCCCAATAAAACAGATAGTCAACGGAATAAGGAGTGTGTTTCATTGATTAAGAAAATCTGAGACATTGTTACATTGGAAATGGAAATAACTTTACTTTATGTACGAGTCTTCTTTTGAAATAGAGAACTGAGGACCTTCGACATATGACTGAAAAGCAACAGCAATTTTAGAAACACATTTTTAACCGTAACCATTAGAAAACAGGAACACTATATGCCTAAAATAAATATTCCTTCAAAATCAATCAAATTACCACTTTCTCCAAGGAAACCAAAAGCATTTTGGTATCTCAACATGGTTAACATTGCTGAAAAAAGCCTGTTAGACTATAGTGAATATTTTTCTTTACAAATTTAAAGGTTTTATCCATTGACTTGAACTATGATTTAGGGAGAGCTAAGTTAATGACATAAAATAATAAATAGCAAGCCTTATGTTGCAATATAATCAGTTCACCGGAAAGGAAATGCGTAATAGTTTGCGTCTGGATCAAAAAATATAAAATGATTGAGCCATGTGATTCCAATTCTAACTACATCAAGTATACTCATTTACCGCTAAATATCGTACGTCGTCTGACGTACGATATTTGGCGGTAAATATCGATGACCAGTCGCAAACGTGGCACCTCAGCCAGGTAATAGGTTCCATACAAGAATTTGAGATAATTCTCAACAGGTTGGGTTTGCCTCATGACCTTTCCCCTAAATAGCTCGAAGGACAATGGATCTGTGAGAAACATAGAAATCACTTTGGTAAAAACTGGCGCCCGCGACGCACATGCCAGTACCCTTTGCATTCTGGTCGGCAGAAGCAACTAAAGACAAGCAACGCAGTCAGCCCTGACACGTCAAGGGAAATAACTGGTATTTATGGGAAGCATGTTCCAGCGGGATTCCGTAAGTCTGAAGAATTGTAGATATGGCATAAATCAACTGAAGGTGTCAGGACAAAAGGTTTAATGAGTAGAACAATGGCTGCGCACGTGCGCTGTAAATCTTTGTACATTTCTTTGCCGTCCTCTGCACAATAACAACGTGAAATGACTAAATTCTGCGCATTTTGGAGAACACGAACGACGGTGGCTTATTTTTCGTATATTTATTTGGAATTGGACGCTGGCACTACATATTTAGCTTGAGCAACTTCTGAGACCAATAGACGCTCTGAACAGATTTAGACAATTTGGAAATTCGAACTGAGGTAAAATCTAAATTCATTTTACTAAACGTTGTCCTCGGGGTCGCGGTCGTCATTGTTTAAGTTCTCTGTTATGATTTTAGACCGGTCTTTAGATTCCCTCACTATAATTGCCAGTTCAATCAATAATCTTACAGTATAGCTTCCATCAGTAGCCGTTCGTCTCTCTTTTCTGCCAGAACAAATTCTGTAGATTTTAATCAGTGAATTTACTTCCTTTAAACAATTCTAATGTTCCTTGCAATTGGGTAATTAAAATATTATTACTCTGTAAAAAAGAAAATCGTCCTTCTAAAAAGCTTATTTTCATAGCCAACAAATATTGGTCTAAAAGAAGTGGCAGCGGTGGGATTCGAACCCACGCCCCCGAAGAGACTGGTGCCTTAAACCAGCGCCTTAGACCACTCGGCCACGCTACCAGATGACAACTGACACGGACATGACAAGAAGCGCTAACAGCTATATCCTGCCACATCATCTAGAATAAACATTATCTTTAAAAATCTTTATAGACAGCTTCTTCTTAGTCTTTCAAACCTGTGTAAACTGTGGCATGTTCCTTCGCATATTTCCAGTAGTACTTTTCGAAATCAGTTACATGATTTTGTAAACGGAGAAGTTGTAGTAATTAGGAATATCCTTGTTTATGAAATAACTGAGATGGTACGCACGCTCTGATTGGTCAATAGAGCTGCTAAACCTATGTTTACGATCTATGGCAGCTCTACGCGGGAACTAGAGAACTCGGAACTCTAGCGATAACAATTGTAATAAACAGTTTTGCCTTTCACTGGGTGAGATATCAATAACACGAATATCTCTTCATTCGACATATACATGGAAACTTGCAAGGAAAAAAATGACCAGAAGCTGGTCGTCATATTAAGCTTCATTTTTTTTTTTTTCATGGCAAAAATTTTACGCCAACTCCAGTTACGTTTGAGATTAAAATTAATCGCGCTTCGCCTCGCGCTAGGGCCATAAATCCGAGCGGAAAAAACGAGGATCCGTAATTTACAGTACGGTCCGAGAAAACGAGGTTAGTAAGATATTTATTATATCTCTGGGTTCAAAGAGATGGGGAAGATTTCAATCAAGCAGAACGGCCATTGATGATTGACGCACGTCAAATCCTAAACGTGAGGACAATTTATTGGTTTCCACAAAAAGCGACTTGAGTTGTCAAAACGTTCGTTTAAATTTCAAACTCATAAGTCCAAGATAATGCAAAATTACAACAGTTCAAGTTTACAAAGATTTTCTGTAACGAATAGTGATAAAACGTTTTGCAAGTAACTCCCGTTGTCGACAATAGTATTTTCAAATGCCCGAACTATGAAGGGCAAAACGTAGAAAGTGCAAACTTTGTTCAATGTCAGCGTCAAATGAATGAATGAATTTTATCAGTGCCAACGAAAGCAACTTGAGGAAAATTTTCTTTCAATGATTACAATCCAGTTTTTTTGTGTTTTGCGGCGTTTTCATGTAAGCTGCCAGATGTATCACTCGGTGCAGGCTGAACAAGATTAAAGTTGGAAATTGAACCGATGTTTGCTGATGCGAAGAGAGAAGGATGTGGCATCGCTTGGAAGCTGAAGCTTCTTTGTTGGGCAAATGAAGATTGCTGCGAGCTTGTTCCATCAACAGAGACAAAGTTTGGTGCATTTGAACTTAAACCCGGTGGAGAAGCTTTCTGTTGTAAGATGTCTGATATTTTTCGCCGGTGTGTTATAGAAGCAGACTTGTATGAGCTCAAACTTTGTAAATCTTTATGCCCGCTTAACTGTGCTACGAAATTTTCTGGAGTTCTAC